TGCTGCCGGTGATACTGCTCATGGCTGGCGAGTCGACAATCAGATCATCTTCGACATCATGCTGAACATCCTCATTGTCGTCGTCATCTTCATCATCAGTACCATCACCATCACCATACAACCCTCATAATTAAGCATTGCAATTCATGTCTGATGCGCAGATTGCAGCTTTCTGCACGGAGCACGGGTTGGGTACCCTAGGGGCCTTGCGGGGTGGGGGCAGGGGTGGGGCGACCGAAATCCGCAGCAGCAGGTGGTGCCGGGGCGGGCGGGGCGGTGGCCCGGGACCGGAGAGCATATATATATATATATATATAGACATATATAGATACAGCTATACATATATATATATATATGTTTATTTATACACATAATTGCATACTTACACACATACATACATAAATACATATGTAATGTATCTATATATATATATATATCAGGCCAAGTGGGAGTCAAAAATATACGTGTATGTGTGTATATGTATATGTATGTATTCACTTGCACACATACACACTTTTTTGACATGACAGACATGGCAGTGCCAAAACAACTAACTTACGACGACAACCTCAGCAAGGACCCGCAAATCGGCACAGGTATGCAAAGCTATGCACAGCCTGCCGGATGCTACATCACTTCAACTACGCTACGGCCATAACCGGGCTACAGTTTTGCAGAGCACGTCAGTAGCGTCGAGCGATTGTTGGTATGTTGTGATTGTCGTTGTTATTATTCTTTCCGTTGTTGGGATAAAACATTAGCATGTGGCATCTCTTGTTTCTTCGCTGTCAGCTATGTTTGTAGCTCTGCTGTTGCGGCTTCGTGTGAATCTGATGTCTAAATATCTTAATACATCAGCTGCTTTCACGAGCTTCTGCAGACTTTAGCATCGGCGGCTTGTGGAAAGGTATTGAAGCAACTCGAACGGTTGTGTCACTGAAGTCCAAGATGCAGCCGCTCCAGCCGCTCGGTCTGTGCGAAGTGTCATCGCTGCAGTTTGTGACCAGCTAGACTTCGACACAACCACAGCTTGCAAGAGTTGGAGCCCATTTCTTCGGCTAGAAACATAGAGCTTGCAGACCAACATCAATCTCGGAAGCCGCAACTATTGCCGTCATTGCTGCAGCTCGCTCCAAGCTCCAAACCCTGGGGCTGAGCGTCCCGCGAAGGTGTGCAATGCCACAGTGTCCCACCAACTGGAGCCATAAGGCAACTATAGGGATCCTTATTCAGAATAGCACAGGCAATCGGAGGAGGCAGGCATGCAGATTGACTGAATCAGCGTCAGACCTGAGGTTTACCTTCAGGGACAGCTTCCTGAAGAGTTTGAAGATGCTTCAGCACGAGATCAACCAGACACAGCAGGACCTCAGCGTCGCCGTGCAAGTAGAGGCCAAGCCGACCAAGCTTGTTGATGCTTGGCTGAAAAGATCTCAAAAAAGCGTAGCTGGCCACTTTTGCGCGTGCTGTTTCCGCAATAGCTGGACGACGTAGGATTGCAACTAAGTCTGCTTGGAACATCAGAACACATGGACGATTGAGCGCTGACATCATGTTGGCAAGCGACGGGTGGCACTCGTCCTCGGCCCTCCCAGCAGGTGAGATTGCCATCAGCAGTGAAGCGCTTGACAGGTTGAACGGTATATACTTGCGCGAGGCTTTCAGTCCATATATTGCAGCGACGGAAGCATGCTCCAAGCTTCAGATTCAAGGCTTCTCATGGTGGTTTTCGATTTTGGAGCATTTGCCCGACTAAGGACCTGAGCCCCACTGGCTCGGAGTTGGCTCTGCAAAGGGTGGCCATCAGAAACAAGTCAAAGAGCGGCATTCTCAAAGACCCGGCTTCTGCGGCTGTGCCCTCTGACCAGCAGGGCTCCAGCTATGAGCAGGCGAAGGCTCCGCTGCAGTTTGGGAAAATCGCTCGATCCGACACCTTGGCGCAATTTGCAATCCAAAGTGCTCGTTTGCGTGGCTGGTTCTAGTGTTCGTGGTGCCGCTGATGCGATGACGTTCAACATGTGCAAGAACGCGAGAATATGCAATGGCTCTATTGGAAGACCACGGTGTATCACTCTACCAATCTCTGCAGTGTAACAGGACCAGAGTGCACCTGTAACACCACGCCACATTCAAAGGTGGTTTCAGCAGGCTCTGAACTACTATTTAAATAAGTCACTGCAACTGCAACACGGTTCTGCAGAAGAACGTGCTTTTCTCGATTTAGCCATCACACAAGCATTCTGCAGACAGCAAGTTTCACGAGTCAGGCCTGGATGGAGAGCGAGGCCGGTCAGGAGATGCTCAGCAAAGCTCGCGAGAGAACTCCGAATGCCGTGGAGGTAGATCCTGGGCGGCTTTTACCCTCTATCTGTCTTTCTGTTGGTCTCTTTGTCTCTGTCCCTGTCTCCTTGGTGCTGCGAGGTGAGGATAGCAGTTCCCACACGTCGACATCGGGAGAGTGTACCCTGCCACTGATTGTGACCCCAGGATGTGGAGCTTTGTGCACCGCGACTACACTTCAAGGTGCGTGAGAAGGTGCCCGGACTCCTGTATCAGCGATTGATGGTTGGTACAAGGAAGGGTCCATGGTGTTCGAAACGACACTTCGCAACTAGGTACTGTTCCCACGGCACCATGTGAACCCGGGGGAGCTGTAGGCCCGAGACTTCGACAGACACAGCCGGTGCTCGGGCTGCGTTCCGTTCTTCAGACAGGGACGTTGGGAAGCTTGTTCAGATTTTTCGCGAAAGCGAAAGCTGCCGCTGAGAGAGCTTGAGCTGGACCTGGAAGGCGTCAGTGGAGGTGTCTTTCGGCACGCTGAAGCTGAAGACCACAAGCGAAGATCCCGGGCTGAAATTCACGAGGCGCAGGGCAAGTCTTTGCGTCTGCAGATGTCGAAGATCAGGCTCAGCAGCCTCAACACAAGCCCATCCCCAAAGCGAATGCCCGCCAAAAAACCCGAAGATTGTGACTGCCGAGGATCACGACCTAGACGAGCTGGACAAGATCGAGATGGAGATGACTTTACAAAATACTCAGCTGCCGCCTGCTTGTTGTACATCTTCCGGGTCACAGGTGTGGGACATTCGAAACCTTCGGCATCTTGCTAACCCGATCCTTTTTTGGAAGACCTGCGCTTTCGAAGGTTCAGGCCGCGCAGGCGGGATTGTTCCGGCCATCAGGCGTCTGCGAGTCGGATATAGGCAGCCTGCAGGTCATGTCCGGTGTGCTGTGATTGCACGTCAGAGCCAAGGTCTGTCCGAAATCGATCCGGGTCGGAGCATGTCCTCCTCTCGTGGCTTTGCTGTATGTGAGCTGGATTGGGTGACTCCCCAGGATGCCCACTTGGCGATGCTACTCTGTGCATGTCGAGTCGAGCCGGTGCCATTCTGAAGGGTCGTAGTCAAAGACCCCAGCACGTCACACAAGAGTCTGAAGACGACATAAAAACAACACTACATCGTGAACAAACGATACATCTGAAAAGGTTGAGAACGGCACAGACATACTGTAAGACCCAAACCGACAAGACCTAGCAATGAGATTGACATTGCGTGTGTCTCTTGGACGTACCGGGCTTATAAGCTGCCATGCGCTTATCTTTCTGAGTCCAGAGGGACAGCGGGATGCATGCTTTTCGGGGCGTGCAGAGAAAGTGAGAGTGTTCGCTCGAGACCGAAAACCCCAAAACAGACCGGTGTAGCAACTTTCACCGAAAGCCTCACCGTCTGAAGCTAATCCGTCGAGTGCAGAATGAAAGACTGCGAGGATCGTATTCATCTGACGTACCGTCTTTGCGTTCAACACCTGAGGCCTGTGATGCTCTCTACGACGTTGTTCTACTCGCCGAAGGTAGCGCAAGTCTGCGTCGTTTTGGGCCCGGTGCGGATCAATGCCTCTCCTGTGGCTGGGCTGAGATGGTGATTCGCAGTGGTTTCGGACTGTGGTGGATTGCTGCAGGCCGCGTGACTTCGCGAGTTTGGGGCATGGATGCGAAGGATTCAGGGCTGGAGGTGCTTTGAGGGGAATGTTCCGAGCCCGAGGTAATGCTGCAGATCCTGGCCACCGTGCCCAAGGCCGACTTGCAGTTGCCCACATGTCCATTTCAATGACTGCATATGTCCCGGTCAGACGAGCTTTGGCCGCGTACCGGCTGGTTTGAAGACTGTGGCATCATGACTTCCCAGCACTTCCCGCCGGCTAAGCATCAAACTCTTGGCCGCAGGGTCTGGTGTCAGCAATTTTGAACCTGAGAATCTGAACCTTGACCGACTAGTGCAAGAATGAGAGGGTGAACCCACAGCATCGTCAATTAGCCTTGTGGAAGATGCGTTGGCAAGCACTGGTCATGCCGACTGAACTTCGTTTAATCCTGTAGCCGTACATGATTGCCAATTGCGTTTCAGACCTTGCGAGGCAAAGGAAGGTAAAGGCACTGAAATTCCAGGCCATCAGCAGAATCGCCGCCATCATGTGGAGCAAAGAAATATTTGAAGTGACCGTAAGACAACAGGAACCGTAGAGGAGAATCCAAAGCATTATTCGATTAGACCATAAAGGCATCCGGAGGGTTGACTGGAGGTGTCTGTTTGGAGGTCCCATGCGACACATGTTCTTCAAGAGTTGAAATTGGGTCTAAGGACCTGAGGTTCGGGATGGCTCGGGTTTAGGAATTGAAGCATTGCACACGTCGCTTGCTATGTTCGCCGCACATCCTTATTCTTGGAAGTATGCAATCATCAATCTGGTAGGCGAGCGGCGCCACATGTTAGTCAGTTGGCGTGACAGGCGCTCAGTCCGGGCTTAGAAGTGAGAGCTTCATCCATCCAATCTGGAGGTGCTGCAGGATGCCCTGGCTGATCCAGTCGACCCAGATGCACCGGAGGCTGCTCTGTGCTGTGCACCCTCAGACTTTCCACAGATGGAGCCAGTCGCCGGTGACTGCTGTAGAGGAAGCACAATGCTTGTAGGCAGCCATCGACTTTATTCTCGTGGCTCCTTGTCATGTGCAGGTTACACAAGCCAATGAGGAAGCACCGAAGGCGGAGCGTCCTGTGCGCTGAAGCATAATTGCGAGAAAGTACAGCCTGGTTTGAAAACATGGTCTTTTCAAGTGGGCAATTCTGCGGAGTTTTCCCACCGGGATCCCAAAATCTCTTCAGCAGGTCAAGCCGACTCTCGACGAAGCCCAACTTGTCAAGCAACTCGGCCTCGCTCAGTGAACAGGGGTGTGGCATGATCGGAGGGTCAGCAGAAGAACATTCTTTGCATCTGCTGAAAGGATGCAGGGCCTGGTGCATGGCCGACCCTGCTCGACAACATTGCTTTTCTTGGCATGATTGCTATTATGACCCTTTGAGAGCTATCGCAAATCTATAGTATAGGCTCAGCCACATAACAAGGGGAGGTCCTGCGTTTGCGCGTTGATGTTCCGTGCTCGGACAAGACCCTGGAAGTCCTTCAGCCCTCGCACGACCCCATGATGTCAATCATGTGCACGGACTGTGTAAAGGTGAAGGTTCAAGGTTGACGGCCGCACACTGGTTTCCACTCAATCCTTTGGTCCTCAATGAACCGAGACACGTGGAAGGCCAGAAAAACAGTGCATCCCCCAACGTAGAACAGACACCATGTGGATTTGCTCACAGGGCCTCAGCGAAGAGCGCGGTCGCGGTGTCCCAGCAGTCGGTGAAGAAGTTGAAAGAAAAGACCGAGGTCACTCCAGATTTCGGGTCCACTTTAGTCGTTCAATGAGTTCAATTTGGAGGTGACCTGCTGACATTCACGTGTTTCCGAGCGATATCCTACTTCATGCCGGCAGAATCGATCCCTTCACCAGCCCAGCTCAACTTTAGGATGGCTACGGGCTTTTCTATTAATGAGACATTCGCCGGACAACCAGAGCCGACATGTCGGGTAGTTGCATAGCCTGCGTGAGCTTCGACATCCTTCTTCAAGCCGCTTCTTTCAAGTCAAGCGGCTGTAAACCACTTTGAAAGGTTTTAAAGGACTTAAAAAAATAAGAAGAAATCCTTGGGCCGCAATCCACTCGGAATGACCTCGAGCGACAGGCCGATGTTTGGTCGTGGTACCTTGATGTCGTCATGTAGCTGGCCACACTGCTAGAACGGACGGCAAAAGTGTTTAGGACTGGAAATGGTACGGAGATGTTCAGAAGCGAGTCGTTCCTGTTTTCGCGAAGGCGAAGGCAGCACCGAAGCAGACCTGGCAGTTCGTTCTGGACATGGAGCACCTGGCCATCACCAGGATTCTGCAGACGGGCTCTAGCTTGAAGAAGGCATTTGCCCGAAAAGTATTCAGCTTTTCCGTGGAACCTGAAGTGCTTGGACCGATAAGACTCCGGTGTTTCTTTGCCCATACACTGAAACCTATGTATGTACACGTGCAATCACACGCAGCTGGTGAGTTAGTGTTAGCAGAATGGATGTATGGGAAGTTGTTTTCGCAAATTCTTTCAGTGTCTGCATGGGCTGCCCAGCAGCGCCGTGTACTGCAGCTGAGCCTTCAGCCTTCGAATCTCAAGACAGTGACATCGTGCGTGCAGACCTGGAAGCTTGATGTCGGCCGGTGTGTTTCGTACCAGCCTATCAACGCACTTCTCGAAAGTGCTGGAAACCAGTACCAGATGATTGAGGGTCCTCATGCCGAACCCACACCACCAAGACCAAGACTCGGCAGAGCTAAGGCACGTTGAGGTCGAGCTCCGAAGTGACGCCGATCCCAATGCGCCTGTGCTTCGTGCTGTCCCTAGTTCAGCTGGGACTTTGAAGAAGCTCTCATCTCTCACGTTGGTTGCTTTCAGAATCTCTCTTGCCCGGTCTGCGGCGTGATGAAGATTGCGGTGCTTCCTGGACCTAGTCGCCACTGATTCCCGACATTTGCTTTTTGCCAATCCGACACGTGCATTTGTCACCTTACGAAATGTCGCAGCCATGCCAACGACGCAGTTGGGAGGTTTCCTCTCGTGCTGAGGTCTGAACGGTTGCCTGCAAGCGGTGGAAGTGCGCATGGAGGACGACAAGGCGCTTCAAGGGCTCCCGGGTGCGAGACTGCAAGAGGATCACCCTTTCGGAGGTGACCATCCCCTTGGAGACCTCAGTGATGGCGGATCCAGGCGATGACCCTGGAGGCCAGGACAGGAAGCTTCGGACCCGAAGTGGATGACTGGACAGCTGTTACTTCGTGTTAATACGGCATCGTGTCTGTGCTCCGCTCGAGCGTGTGCCAGCTGCGATGGTTGGGTTTTGGGGTTTAGTCTCGGAGTCGGAGCAAGCAGAAAGTGGCCAACACTGTGGGCCCGATCATAACCAAGACTAAGACGATTACCAGATTTCAGCTTCTTTCTGGTGGCCCGGGCTCTTGGATGCTTGTTCCACAAGCCACCTTATACTGTGCCAAACATCTACGCAATTCAGGCCCTACCAGCAGAATCAGCATTTCCCTAAGAACCCCCCTGCAGGCCCCAAACCCCACAGACCACATCACATCACATCACAATTGAAGCTTTATAAACCCCAAAACTCTTACCCCAATGAGCATTGTATCATATATAGGGATGTATTTCTACGGTTTTATTGGATTCCTTACCGCAACCCGAAGCCGGCGGAGGTCTGGGCCAGAACTGCCAGAAGCGCAAACAAATGCTCCGCCTGAGCGTGGATGGCTACAATATGGAGGTTACCGGGTACTATCCGTAGCATGATCATTAGAAGGAAGGTGTGTGTTCGTGCGACTTTTTCATGTTGATCCATGATTGTGATGGCTTCTTGTGACTGCTGACTCCCGCCCGTGTTGAGTGTGGCTGTACCTTGGCTCTACTGCTAGTTTGCTGTTCTGTTAGTTGCAGCACAGTCTAGCACGTGCTGTAAGTAGGACTTAAACAGGTAGAGCCAGCTGTCACAGGAGCTGGCGTGCACGTGTGAGTGCGTCTCTTGCAAAGAAGAATATTCTAATTGAATGCATGACGTGTACACGCTCGATTGACTGTCGTTTCTCAGAGCTCATTGGTCGTAGCCACCTCGCAGCCTTGGTAGAGCGAGAGGGAAATTAGTTCGAAGGAGGCACGCTAATTTGCGGCCGCGCAGTGAAACTTTAGTTTCTGATGCAGACCGGAGCGGAGATCAAAGCGAAGAAATGGCAGCTTCGTCCTTTCCTTGCCTGGAAGGTGGGGCGGTTCGAGCCTGCGCTCGAGTCCTTCGAATTGGCTTGCCAAGTTACCAAAGAAGAAGTGACAGGCCGAGACCTTAATGGGGTAACGTGGAAATGATGGCTTGGGTTTTGAGTTTAGCCTCCCATGAACGGGGCGTGAGTTTCGGGCTTACATCGCAATATCTGGCAGTGCCAGTGCCTTCGCACGCTGAGGTTTGCACGTTCATCTAATCGGGCGGAAACCTTTGCTGGTCAATATCAACCCAGTATTCCTGCGTCGGCTCACTTGGTACGGCACACGCGCCTTGGACCGTGAGACGTCTTTTCTGAACTGTTTGAACTATTCAACGCCGTCCTGGATACGATTTAAGTTTGGTGAACTAGGGCCGCTAAGTAGGCATTCGTTGCCATTGCGCGGTCCTTGGTTTCATTCATGCCGGCATGCATCCAGAGAGACAAAGTGTGTCTGATCTTACGGTGCCGTGGACGACGACGACGACTCAACGACAACACAAACGATAAGAATTTGTAAGAATAAGAGCGCCAGCAGCAGCAGCACCACCGCCACCGCCACCGCCACCGCCACCACCGCCACCACCGCCGCCGCCACCGCCGCCGCCGCCGCCACCCACC